CTCGTCCTGGCAGGGGGCTGGGCTGGGCTGGGCTGCGCTCAGGGCAGGGGGCGGCGCTGGGAGGGTGGTTGTGGGGCTACAGCAAATTTTGGGGTAGCTGCAGGTTCCCCCCCTTCTTCCCAGCGCTGCTACCACTGCCCCCTGCCTGGAAGAGCTCAGCACAGCCCCTGGCCCCAGCAGTGCAGTGCCTGCCTCTGCCCCTGCCCCACTCCCTCCCTCACCACCGGCGGGGGAGCAGATCGAGGCCCCACTCACCCCAGCCCCTGCTCCTGCCTGTGTCCTGCTCCCTCCCTCACTGCTGGGGCCTTGATCTGTGTCCCACCCCCAGCCTTTCCCCTCTCCCCACAGACTTACCTGCTGCTGATCATATAAGAGTGAATTTACCTTGTGTATAATGAATTTTGGGTATAAAAAGGATCATCTCATAAGAGCAAATTCGCATATACAGAACCTGCAGAAAGCGAGGGGAACATGTAGGTGATGCTATCAAGTAGTATAAACCCCAAATCCCAATTTACTGTCAGGCCAGAAATGCCTTGTACATCCTAAATATTTGTCAGTAATTATTTTATTGGCCTTATATGTAGTGTGAACCTAATTCATTAAAAAAATAGGACTGAAATTTTTTTTTATTTTTGCAAATAAGAGAAAATGGACAAAGAAAAAATGGGAATGGTTTGTAAATAATGGGGAGTCAACAATAAGACAGAAAGACAACTTGCTTTTTAACATCCCTTTTTAAGATGTCAGAAATACTCATTCTTTTAGGTCACTAGGGCACTGAAATTAGGTGTGTTGATGTATTTGAACTTTGGCTGAAGCCGACAGCATTGACTTCCTTTCCTGCCTGAGGAGTGTCATTGGCAATCGCCCAAGTGCCCGTGTGAGAGAACAGTGGGAGTTAAAGGGAACATAGGACAGGAGGCCAAGATGCGCCTGGCAACCTCACTGTCTTTCTTTGAAATCAAGTTCTTGAAAGAACGAATTAAGCTAAAGGACAATGTTGACACAAGAAGTAGAGGGATAAGGTGATGATGAATAAAATTAGGCTGGAAATTACGAGGTTTCTAACAATTAAGAGAATGGTGTTTTGGAACAGCTTTACAATAGAAGTAGTGAGGACAAGAAAACCGAACTAGTGTTAAGGTAGAGCTTGATTAGTTTGTAAAAGGATTATATAACACAGGGCCAGCAACAGCCAGGGGACTGAACTCTGACCTATGCCGTTTCTGTTTCTAGTTCTATTTTCTACCTCAGACTCACAACTGTAACCTCTTATTCCACCATCAGTCTCTCTAACGGCACTCTGTTCCCACTGTTGAACCTGGTCAAAGTTGCATTTAAAACGAATACCATAGAAGCAAAACATTTATTTTTACTATGTGGCAAAATGACTGTCCCAGGAGCATTCCCCCACTTCCTTGTTTATTTATCCCACTACTGCAATATGCTTTCTTCCCAAAATTATCTATCTATACGAGACTATAAGCTCCTTGGCAAAGGAACCACAAGGCTCCTCCTGTACACGTGCAGGGAGGCTGCTCTGACGTGCTGGAATTCCAGTAATCGAGTCTGCTGGAGTGTGGTGATTACTGCGCTCCAGCAGACTCCAGTGTCATGCGTGTCAATGTCCCCGCACTGAAAAATGGTGGTGGGGTGCTTTAAACTAAAGTTTGTTCAAGCTTTTGTTCAGTGTCCCACTGCCATTTTTCAGCACGGGGACACTGATACACGTGACACTCTGGGCACTTTTAATTAGCATGGCTCTTGGTGCTGTGCTAATTAACACACCCCCCCCCGCCCCCGGAGCATGTCTATAAATGCCCATACTGTCTTACATTCTTAAACCATCATGCACATCCGCAGTGTTTTGCAGCTGTCTTTTCTCAAACCTATCTTAAGTAGAGAGATTTACACTGAAAGGGAGTACCGGACAGCTTGGTTCTCTAAAATGGAGATTTTTGTTATTTTTCCAAAGGCTGCCAATTCAAGAAATGTTTACCTAGAATTCATTTTCATTGCATTTAAATTTATTTTGTAATTCATACTTTGCCCTGCAGAATTTGTAGCCTAGAGCATCATTTTAGTATTATGTGTATTATCAGAAAAACAATCCCGCTGTTTTCACTGTTCCCAACTGAATGAATTGTACAGAAACAGATTTGTAAAATTCCTTCAGTTTCCATTATCTAGAATTCTACCAATAATACAGATAACTTACTAATAATACAGGTAACTTGCATAAAGATGGTTTTTAAAGTGACAGCAGTCATTTTAACATTTCCTTTTGAAGTAAGTTGAGATGATATGTGTTACATCTTTATGTCTGCAGGGAATTAAGGACTCCATCTGGGGGATCTGCACAATCTCTAAACTGGATGCCCGGATCCAGCAGAAAAGGGAAGAGCAGAGAAAAAAGAGAGCAAGCAGTGCACTTGCCCAGCGGAGAGCACAGAGTGATGAGAAAAAGCAGGAGAAGTGAGTACATGAACTTGAGTGTCAAATGCTTGAGAATTTGCTTGTGGACTCTGTCTGCCACCTACAGAGGACAGAAGATCATTTAGAAACTTAGTGATTTGGATCTCAGGTGGCAACAGACATCATCTAATTTCCCATTTGTGCTGCCTTAAAAATTTTCACGTGGCAGGGAAATCAGGGGCACAGCGAAAGGTCTCTGCCACTTTATTGCAGCAGTCGTCTGTTACCCTGTGGCACTTTCCCAGCTGCCCCAAACCCGCACTGTGATAGGGGGAAAAGTGCTTCCCTGTGCAGCGAGCCCCAGGCGGGCTGGGCAAAGAGAACACCTGATGTTCCTCTCTGCCCCAGACCCACGCTGGGTAGCAGAACACCCAGCTTTCCCTGCTGCTCCAGACTCATGGTGTGGGGAAAGTGGAGAAGGAGATCACACCACCCTTTGTCCCACACCACCAAGGGTGGGACAAGGGGCGATGTGCATTTTACCCAGTTAATCTAGCCTCAGAGGTCTCAAATGAGTGGAAAAACTTGGAAATCTGCATGAAACTTGGAACAATGTAGTTGCAAGGCAGTTTGTTCCTCCATAAATGTGCATTATTTTAATTGAGTCCAGGTAAGAGGTAATTTGAGATAAGTGAGGATTTAAGGCATGTAAACTTCTACTTCTGTCTACAAATGTGAAAATTTTCATGCATTTGGGTAAAAATACCCAAATGAAATACCCCCCCAAAATTTGGGAGAGACCTTGTTCCCCCGAGCACTACCAGGAGTAACTAGGAATAACAGCCATAAGTTGACTGAGAGTAGGTTCAGGCTGGACATCAGGAAGCACTACTTCACAGTCAGGGCGGCTGGGATCTGGAACTAACTTCCAAGGGAAGTGGTGTTTGCTCCTACCCTGGGGGTCTTCAAAAGGAGGCTGGATAATCACCTAGCTGGGGTCGCTTGACTCCAGTACTCTTTCCTGCCATGGCAGGGGGTCGGACTTGATGATCTGCTCAGGTCCCTTCCAACCCTGCCTACTATGAAACTATGCCCATATCTTTAAGAACCTGTAATCTGAAAGCCAGTAAATCTCTGAAATATGTTTGAAAATAGTTTACAAGTATAACTGCATTTATTAGTGAACTTGCATTGAAATCTAAGAGCAATAGATATAAAATTTGTTAAAGGAACTGATTGCCACAACATCTCATTGAGGCTAAGAGTTTAGTGAGATTCAGCAATTGTATATGGATAATGAGGGACACATATCCTAAAGTTTGAAGGTTTATTAAGGTGATGGATACCAGAAGCCTCTAGGATGGGCCCCTTGTAGAGACGGGATACTGACCGCATGGATTACCAGCCTGATCCAGTTTTGTAATTCTTATCTTCTCTGGCTGTTCTGTTATGGGATCTGGGGAAAAAGCTCTCCCTATACAGCTTTGCCCTCATACTTCTAATCTGATCTGCGGGCCTCTTGCAGTCCTGTGTAGAGCATCTACAACAGCAGTTATTTCCCAGTCATATCCTGTTCAAGGATCTGGGAAAATATCTGCTGAAGACTAAAAGGATATCAATAAACATATTTCCACTGGAGATCAAAATAGAACCATAGCCCCAAATTATGACAGTATTTGTCTCAATGTGCTAATTAATATTGAATTTATTTTTGCACTAAACCGGGAGTTAACATCTTAGATCAGTTAATTGAAACTGATTTTAAATTAATGTCTAGAGACATGTTTAGCACCTTGTGTGAGACACTTTTTTTGTCTGGAATGATTGCAAAAGTTAAAGGTCTCTGAAATTTCATGGATTGGCTTTTTTGAAAGGTTTTTTTCCCCCCTAGTGTTAGCATGTGCAAAAAAGGTTTACATCTTAATGTGATTAAATAGTCTGTCCTGAGATTACAAATATTATAACTAACAGGTGTTGTTGCTGTGTATATCCACACTTGTTCTGATTTTAAATGCAGCTTTAACTTTGAACTTCTGGGGTTTCTGATTCTTGTTTTTTGAGATAATTACAAGAGCCCTGTACATTCTTTTATCCAGAATTACAGCTACAAACTCTAATCCCATTTTCCACTTGTTTGGAAATTGGGATTAGTTACATGATCTTTCTGATATCCAGCTTTAATCTTCTTCCTTCTGTGGGAAATTTACTGGTATATTTGATTGAGCATATATTATGAGTATGCACACAGATACACGCCCTCTAAAATTACAGTGCTTCAGACTTAAATTCTGTTACTGGAATTAAGTTGGAAACTTACTAATGTAGTAGACAATTTGGAAATATGTATCTAAAGTATGAGAGAGAAGGAATTTCAGTAATATATGATGTAGGAAGTAATTTATTTTTTAAGAAAAGCAGCTAGAGTTGTACAAATCTCATGTATGTGTGTCTTATTGTTCTCTAGTGAACCTCGGATAGTAAGCCGAATTTTTCAGTGTTGTGCATGGAATGGAGGTGTATTTTGGGTAAGTACTTCTTTTTGTTAGTACCTAACTTAAAAATGTAAGCACTAGTTAAATCCAGTGCACTGTTTCAGTGCTTTGGTGCTTTCAAGGGTGCTATGTTGGCTTGGCTGCCCTGCCAAATTGGAAGGCATTACGAATTGTGAGAGAAACCAGTGAGTTTGAGTCTTGATTTTTTTATCTAAAGGGACCCTACTTAGGATACTTAAATGAGCTCTTATACCCCTTAAACAGACCAGAATGTTAACCTGGAGTCTATTTTTTAAGTCCCTTTCTTTGTTCCAAAGTGATCATATGGAGTCTACTATGCTACTCCAATGAAGTCAATATTACATTTCCTCAGCTCTGTTCACCCAATAAGTGTTAATGGGTTGGTGGGGTTTATTCATCATTATAGTGGATGTTTTGCAGTTTAATTAAATTGCTTTTCTGTTTTCATCTTCCATTAGAGACTGTCGTGATATGAAAGGAATCAGTGTGGAAATATTGATAGGGAACTGCTCAATTATATATTTTGGTTGTATTTAAGTAGAGCAGCAGTTTTTTGGTGCTCTGCACTGATGAATCATTATGTTTAATTTTTAATACATAGCCTGCAGACACTGCCATTAAGCAGAATGAAATATCTGCATGAAATTTGCCTTAAATCTGTGTTTACAGATCTCTCTGCCAATATATCAAAGTTATTGACCCTGTTTGAGGGTGAAGTAGTTACATGTCAGATACAAAACAGACTTTCTGTTGGTCATACTGAACGGTTTTGGAAATGTCAGTGAAATGAGGCAAGAGGGTGCCTTCAGACAGTGTCCTGCGTGAAACAGATGCTTCCAGCATCCCATATTTAATCTCTCTGGAACAGATTGGGTTGATGAGTAGATATAGTAGTAATAGAAATAAATATATGATCACTAGTACTAAAAACTTTTTTTTGTTTTCCATGTTGTCTTTTTTTCTGTAGCTTAGTCTCCTTCTGTTTTACCGAGTATTTATACCTGTACTTCAGTCAGTTACAGCACAAATAATTGGTAAGTACATAGCTTCTTTTTTAAAAATTGCTAGTGTAACAGCCCACTTCTGGGTAAACGATTCTCTGGTATCTGCATAGTCAGCAGAAGAGGCCATGCCACCATGTGCTCTTCCTCATGCTTGTCTCTGCTTTGAATTATTTTCTTCTCTTGGGGAAAAATCCTTAGAGGTTGAGCCTCTACAACTCCTATGGACTTGAGAGAGGAATGTGAATGTCTAGCACATCTCAGTATTTGGCTTAGCCATTGTAGTATGCTCTCCTTTTCCTCTTGGTTTTGTGTGATGATGTTGCTTTATCTTTTTGAGTGAACGGACTCACTGGTTGAGCTTTTCAGTACCTAAGGAATTCGTGTGTTTGATTTTCAATAACATTAATGGGAATTGATTATCCAGATTTCTTGGGCAGCTCTGAGAATCTTAGCTAAACTTTCTTGCCTTTTATTTTTCTGCTATGAAAATTTACGTGCCAATCTTATCATACTAAACAACATTTAACTGTATTACAGTGAGTCTATTAACATTGTTTTGTATTAAACAAAAAACCAGGCAGATGGGTAGTTTTGCTGCTAACAGACTGGAAAGGGGAAAGAG